GCCCTCACTAACCTATTGTCCAATTTTGGTCGTTCTTGGTGGTGTTTTACACTGCCCTCGCACGTCCAATAGGACCTTACCTGGACGAATCCAGGAAGGTCCAATTTTTGAAGGGGTTTAACTGCCCCACAAAATGGTACATTGTGCTGATGAAAACCGTCCGTCTCCTGCGTGCGTGTCACTCTGTAAAACTACTAATTAAACGTGTACATTTCTTAGCTAACGCGTTTTTTTCTGTTCGTGGAAAAATAGCGGCAAGGCTTGCTTGTTAAGTATATTTAATCGAAAACTTACACTAGTCTTTCCTAACTCAAACGCAATTTAAATTTTGCAATTCAGTTAACGATATAGCATCTTTGAACAAATTATATTTACATACATTCAATACTTCGTTTACGGGTGAAACACTATTCACTGTAAAGAGAAAACAATACGGTCTTAAATTAGTGGAAGTCTATTAATTCACCATAAAACTGTTGTATCCTAGTTTATATCACTGTCTCAAATGTGCTTGAATAGCCAAGGGGTCGTTTTACGTGCGATGTAAACAGAATAAATGAGAGATAAAAGTTTAGAGCTCGTGTAAACTACACAGCAGACTTAGACATTAAAACACAACACGCCAAGGGTTTGACAGATTCAAAATGATGACAATATTATTTTCCAGTTTCAACCTTTTCCGAGTAAGCTTTTAAAATATATTGGTGGACAAATCTGACTTAAGTTCTACTTATTCACTTGTGAAGTCTTCTATGTTAAATATAAGTTTTGTAGACGTCAGATAATCTGAAGACCGGCCAAGACATATACCTCTTGTTCCTAGTAAAATCCGACTAGTAAAATCCTAGAAATACCTGTAAGTGATTCTACGATTCTATTGTATTTTCAAATTGCAGCGTATAAACATAATTTGTTAAACACAAAAAATATGACCAATATTATTGAATTCATTTACTAATATAATGGCTTAAATTAATCTGTGCTTTTGATTTTCTGAAACCTACATAACTTAGGTCTCATGGTCCTAGACCAGGGACCGATTCACTTTTTCGTTTTATGACCCCAGAGGCAAAAAAAAAAAAACAAAAAACACCATCCCTTCAAACTCGTTAGCATGATAACTAAAATGAAAAAATATGATTTAAATTTAATTTGGTACAACCTGTAAACCTACATTTATTCAAACACGTTTGCGAGTCAGAATTATTAAACTGAGAGAACGGGGGTTTTATGGGGTAACATTGGGTTTTCTCATTTGTGACGATGAATTTCCCGATTTCTCTCCAAAAGATTTTGAAGGGCTTAAAAACGAATTATTTTGTACTATGAAATTATTATTCTTATAGATAATAAGTAAACTGTTCTAGTTTGCTTGTTTATGGATATATTTATACCAAACTTGGCAAATTAATTTATTTTATACTAAGCAACGCACATTTTACTAAAAGAAAATAAAACACTGCATTACCCTCCCCGTAGGAGCGATCCTTAATTTTCATTAAAACTAACGTTATTCAAACAGGGGATACAACTTAATTTATAATAAATATTTTAGAGAAAATCCAATCTGGCAAATGGAAATTCGATAAGACTGCAGGTTTGCTGCGACAGGGATATTTCTTCTTTGTGGTTGACACCATTACAAAGTACGAGTATAAGCTTGTCGTACATTAATTAACACGTGATGCAGATACTATGGGGTGAAGGGCTGCAGATGGTGGTGCGCAAAGCCAGGATTCTAGGGGTTGGGGGACATCCCTGCAGAGCCTATAAATTTTGGTTGCTATAGCAACCGTAATGGCTTCCCTGTGCGCGGCTGCGCTCCAAGTATTTCCATCATGGCCTTCCCCTCGCCACCAATAACGGGTCTGAGAACGTCCCTTCTCCTATTCCTTCACCCCTCTAGCAAAATTCCATTATTCATCCCCATAAAGCTTCCGACGCTCTGCTTATCAGGCACTAGTCAGCCATATTAGAACTACTAAATTATACAGGGTTATGTGATAAAGCATGTGCGTTTCCAAAGTTGTAATCGGATGGCATTTACTAACCGCAGTTTAACAGTCAAGGGAACCACCCTTATGGCGAGTTGGTTATGAATATCAAATGAAAATGTGAAATGCCCCGTGGTTTTATAACCTTACTACAATGTCTAGTTGTATTTAAGAGGAATTTCATTGTAGTTTTAAACGTATAATTAAATTGTAATGTGAAGTTAGTACGGTAATTTACTAAAAATAAAAAATTAAATTAAATAGAAGCCACAAATTTTAATTACTGTACAAGACTTATGTTATGCTGAATATTTTTAGTATCTGTTCTGAATAACCTAAATGTCTTGTTCAGAAACGTATACATTTATGACAAAATTAATAACAAAAAACTCCAAATCTATATGGTTCTCAAATAGTTATTTGTGCAACTAGTGAGCAATTGCCTCACTCGAGAGAAATTCTTCTCAGTTTCTCGAGTGAGGCGATTGCACTTTGCACTCGAGTTGCGCATTAAATTTTTTTGCAGTTACCATAAAAAATAAACTGGTAAAGAAACGCGCCTTCACGTTTCAAATCTGGAGTGTGAAAAAGTAATTAGAGTGAGACAATGTTAACATTGTCTCACTGATGAGCGAATTGGCCACTTTCGTGCCTTCACGTTGCAAATATGGAGTGAGACAAAGTATTTAGAGTGAGACAATGTTAACATTGTCTGATGAGCGAATTGGCCACTTTACTTTCTCAAATCAGTGAAAGAACATGTACATTGTTAGGTAACTGTAGGAAAAAAGGTATTTTCATATATTTTACCCATTGCTGATTAATTTAGTCAGGACCGAACTTACCTAAGGGCGGACGGGGCGAGCGCCCTTGCACAGTAGTTTTTATTAATAACTTCGAAAATTAATTAGACTCTTACCGAATGACCTTCTTTTTAACAGCTTTATTGTCGTTATCCTAAATTTAAGGTTAGTGTTAGGTGAATTTTAAGGTATTACCAGGAACAAAATCCTTGACTCTTAGAGAATTTTCCTCAGGGTTGCACTGGGCCCCGCGCTTAGACCTAGTTTACACGGGCATAGCTAGGCTGTGACGGACCAGTTTGAGTTTCAACTCGATAACCTACGGCCGCGGTGATCGAGTTGAAGGGGGCCCCTTCGCTTGGGGCAAAATATACAATAAATAATATAAAAATTCTTATTCTAACGTAGAACGTAACTTGTAAAATTGTGTTGGGTTAGATGAAGATTCAATGGAGTTCTAATACTTTTGAAAAATAAAAACATTCTTCTGTTTTATTATTCTTTTACCTCTAAGTATATACCAATCATGATTTTAAGGGCCAGAAGTATTGTATTAACCATTCAATAAAAAGGTTTTTTAAATAGTAATTACGTTACTATTTTACTATATTGCAATACGTCGAAATTTGGATCTCCAATTTAGTCGTTAGAGTCAAAGTCATACAGCACCAGTACGATTAAAAAAATAATCTATATAGACATTTTATAACAACTAGGGTCGTCTGATTAACAAAAATTACATTTATTGGGAGCGGGGGAGCGTTATCGTCTGAAATCGTAGCAATCGAAGCAAGCAGAAGCAGCTGCAACAATAAATGATAATGAGCTGATAAGAGATCCTGTCTAGTCCTGTCTGTCTCACGCACGCGCATACACATACCTATCGCCTTATCGCCTATCCAAAACAATTTAAATCACTTTACTCCCAGTGTGTTTTTGGTTGACATTGTCGTACTGTTGTATTTTAATTCTTAATTCTGCAAACACTAGGCCCTACAAAGCACAAAGCTGAAGTTAGTAATGTTGAATTGAATGTTTGTGTTGTATTAATCGATGATATTGGACTCATTTAAACATTTTTCAGTTACTCATATAAATGCTTGAGATTGGATGGTTATTGGACTTGTATTGCAACATTTTACTCGTCAAGGAAAAACTCAAACTTGTTAACGTTCGGTACTTTTCATGCTACGACTTTAACATATTATACAAACGAGAATTCCATACCAAACCCATTATGAAAATAAACATAAGTCATATTTTATGGTTTTATAGTTTTAGTGCCGCCAAAAAATGTAGGGGAAAAAGGGGTTTTAATTGCCATGCCAACGTGACCAATGTATCAGAGTAGGAAGTGACATTTATAGGGGAAATAACTATGTTCTAAACCTTATAATGATTAATCTATAAAAAGTAAACTTTAAAATTGTTTTGATTTGTATCTTATAAACGTAGTAAAAGGTTTGCTAGTAAAATTGTAGTAGTAAGTTATAAAATAAATTAAAGCTTTAAAAGTTATCTCTGACTTACAGCACGTGTTTGAATATAACTTATTCCATTAATTAATGTTGGTTATTTTTTATTTGTGTTTTCATTCTAGCACCAAATAGAATGTGTATTACAGTAAAAAATAAATATTAAACTCTTTATAAGTATGTGTTATTTTATTTTTATTTTATCTATAGTTTTCATTATTTGTTGCAAAGGATATTACATTTTAATATATTACAAAAAAATGTGTAAGGTACAGTACCTGCTAGGTATATTACATTTTTATAAATGCAGATACAAGAAGAATAAACCATAACACTTTACATTGTAGCTATTTTCAGACTTAAAATATTACATAAAATTAGTTTATGCAAAATACATCATACTATTCTAACAAGTTTACATATTAATTCACCTTTACATTGACTAATTAAAATTAGTGTGCATGTTATATGCGGTATATTGTGTACCGTATATTCTCGTATAATCATACTGGGTGCCCTCTGAAGTCGTAAGTCCGGCCCTGAATTTAGTCAGTTTATATCATATTCAATAGGATATTATTTTCGGCTAGTCTTGGAGTGCGGGACTTCTTACGTGGAGTCCAAGTTTATATGTCTAAAAGAAAAACATTTACTAACATAAACAAATGGAATAGTGTATAAACACTTTAAATTGAATGGGTGGAATAATAACAACAACAATGTGTTTGTACAATGTACCTTTAATACTAGCATGTGTAACAAGTACGAAAAAAAGTACGAAAAGGTAGGTTATCCTAATCTCTAATGATGCAGTTAGATGTTAATCAACACTACGAAATATCTTCAAAGCAAGGATCCCACAGCATTGCATAACGAATGTAAAATGGCAATGATGAAGTGCTTATAGTCGTTCTTGTCCAATTATCACTCTTGTAGTTCTGTTAAGTTTGTACTACAGGATGATCACGACTCAGACCATTTTTCTGACCACCTTGCCGTTGGAAACCCGAGGTAGGCTCTCACGGAAATGTACTCCACCTCGCAGTCTTATCTTGTCTTCAACTTGAACTGAAATCAGTCAAATTGTCAAGCTAAAAAATTGTATGCTTACATACTAGCAAATTTCCCATATAGGAATGAGCTAATGCCGTAGGTCTCATGGTAAACCCTGGACCTGGGACCGATTTACTTTTTCGTTTTGAGGTCCACAGAGGCCAAAAACAATCAGTTTGGATTTCAGAACTGATAATACAGTAAATGTGTGTCTGTTAGCACGATAACTAGAGCAAAAATGCTCCTATTCTGATGAAATTTGATACCAGCGTGACCGAACTATGGGAACGGGGTTTTATGGGTAATCATTCGGTTTTCTCATTTTTAACCTCAAACATAATATTTTCCAATTCATTTCTAAGCCGTTTTGTAGAACTAAAAATAAATAATTTAGTATATTAAAGTATAAATGTTGGTATGCACTTTACAGTTAGGGATAAAATAAAATAAAAACTATAAACTGAAAGTGCTTAAGTTATTCTTATGGAGAATAGGTAAACTGTTGCTTGTTTATGAACATATTTAGATCAATTTTGGAAAACTTATTTATTTCTTATTAAACTATTACATTCCACGAAAAAAACATTTAAATATCATGTTATTTAATAGGGAATAAATTTTCATAGTTTAAGAATAATGCTATGAAACACTCAAACACTCTGTATAGTTTTTTAAAGGTGATAGTTGAGTGAAAATCCAATCAGGCAAATTTAAATTCACTTAAACTGCAGGTTTCCCGGGGTATTTTGAACCTCGAGCTTGCATAGACTGATCACTGTGAATGGGACAAAAAGTGGTGACTGCAGTAATAAGATGTAAGTGGTCCATCTCGAACCAGCTACGTCGGACTTTTCAGCCCAAGGACTGAGCTACTGTGTTTTGTTTTTACAGAAACTGAAAAGCACATAATCGTTTGCCAATCTGGTTACGGAATTGTTTTTTTCACTTGATAGATTACACCATTAATCTTACTACCTATAGTTCATCTTTTGGGTGACACGTCAAAAATAAGGTATTACATCTGTACTTAAAACCAACAATTAAACTTTAATACTGATGTTATCATTCTATGTAGTAGAGTATAACGTAAATAATCAGCTCAAGTTCAATTTTATTAATAATCATAACATTTTTATAGTGATTTTTGAAGCAATTATAATTATGATTTATGTAATGTGATCTTAATGACAGAACACATACACTGATACACATATACTGATATGTGTATAATGTTCACAATTCTTTATTTAATAGTGTTTCCAAATCTTGTTTCTTAAAAAGTAACTAAAGAAATGTTCACCACAAATATATTTTTTGAAATAGCAACTGCCCTGCCCTGTTTCACTTCAGCTGTGCCTGAAAGTTACAGTGATGAGATCAGGTATTCTGGGACACCCTCTAATAACCTAGTCTTGGAGGCTAAAAGTTATAAGAAATATGAAAGAATAATGCATGGTTGTAAGAATAATCTTGCGATCGCATTGTAGCAATCTTGTCAATTATCTTCATGTGACAGCCGGGGTTTCCTTGCTATAGAAGTTTCTATTCCTGAATGTAAATTATTTCGCCATATAATAAAGGGTTTTGGGGTGATCTATATTCATTTCTTGCACAATGAAACGGAATAATAGCAGAACGATAAGTATTTGTGGATGGTACGTATTTATTAACTATCTGCCCCCTCTATGCAGCGAAGTTAGCCGCCCCCTCCCCCAACGTCTCGTGAGCGCTCCCCGCCCACAATGACATTACCCCAATACATACCCTGCCAGCTGATTTAGTATAAAAGTAATCGGCAATTACATGATGCATTAACGAATCCAATAACATTTTGAACCCTTTTTACAAACATTTTTGTTTCGCCATTATCATACAAAACACGATTCTGTTTTGGATACACGAACTGCAACGTTGTTGTGTACAATCGGAAGTGTCATAATCATGTTTTGCGGAGCGAACACGGCAACAACCACGTCCGTTACAAAGGTTCTAATACTACTACCATTGACTTACTACTTACTACCGTCGACGTCGAGGCTCAAACAAAACAGTTAACAGTTCGCAATTCACCGCTAGATATCTCTACCATCGAGGGTGGCAACAGTTCATCTAAACACCGCTAGATATCTCTACCATCGAGGGTCGCAACAGTTCATCTAAACACCGCTAGGTGTCGCTGAACCCGATTTCTCAATACACTAGGACAGTTGTTGTTTTTATTATTTATGTATATAAACTGTAAGCACAAGAATACGTTTTTTTCAAAATGCAATGGTTTTAGACTAGGTGTTGTCTATGATGTCCAGGATTCTATGCTAGTAGTGCTAGTACGCTTGTAGTTTGCCGAAAGGTTCTCGCACAATTGTGGGAGAATTGATTCATACATAGCCTCCCGCTTAACTAGTATAGATTGAAGATCGACCGTCTACGTTCCCAAATTATTCATTAGTTAATGAATCTTTGAAGAGTTGGCGCAAAAAGCGCTAGCTCGTAAGAGTATACTATTCTAGTAAAGTAGTAATTGGAAAGGCAAACCTCTTCTTAGTCTTGCTACTACTTGACCTTACAGTGCGACTTTGCTCCTCTATACGTTGATTACGTCAATAAATAAAGTTTAAATAATCCATTTGTTTTGACTTGCCAATATCATTTAGATATGTTAAATAATCATGTATCTTCCACAATATCCAGTTTTAACGATTTTAAGTAATCGTAATCTTGGATGTATAATTGCCCGTAAGTCTCAATTTTATCTGTTAGAGATTATTGTTGATTCTCTTTTCAGATATTAATTTTATAGGATTAACGTGATTGAAATTCTACTCTATGAGTATTTTTCCTTATAAAGCATTCCTATTTTCAAGAATAAATTATCACGATTTTTAGTACCTTATAGTATAGAAAAAATACCCTTGCCGCAGCAAACCTGCAGACTTAGCGAACTTCTATTTACATTAATTGATTTTAGATTAAATCTATTTAAATAACATTAGGTTAACCTAGTACCTGGGTTTGCTGCTACAGGGAGGCTAATAAAGTGTAGTCTTTAGTAAAATATTGGTAGCTTACTATAAAATAAATTAATTTGCCAAGTTTGAAAAAATATTTCAATAAACAAGCACTACAAAATGCTCAATATTCTTTACAAGAATAACATGGTAATTTTAAATTTGCATTTTTTTAATTTTTCTCCGTAACCAATACCCTTACAAAAACACTTTGATATACTAAATCATTTATTTTTTAAGCTCTCTATAATGGTTTAGAGAAAGATTAGGACATTTTGTGTTTTGAGGGTCAAAAATGAGAAAAACTTTTTTTTTACCCACTAAAACCACCCGTAAAACCCTGTTCCCATTGCCCGATTATGCTGGTTCGCAAACTCATTCAAGTTCATCCCGCCTTGCACCTTCAAATCAAATCCATCAAAATTGCAGAAAAATTACTCAAGTTATCGAGTTCACGGACATGTGTATATATATAAATTTTAACTAATAGTGTTTTTGGCCTCAAGGGACATAAAAATGAAAAAAAGTATATCGGTCCCGGCTCCGGGTCTAGGTCTTACCGTGCAAAGTACGGTAATAGCTACTTCCCTATAGGGAAATTCGCTAAAACCTGATATGCCCAGCTGATGATGTTTTTATTCATATCTGCAATACGTTTATTTCTACAGAATTTTACATTATTACATAGTCTCTCGTTTAAAACCACCGAGGGTTGGTTGAGAGGGTGTACTGCACTGTATAACATTTTACTCCGAGTATGTTATCAATCTACCCTTCATATATTTAATATCAATTCCTATACGTCGACAGTTTGAAAAGTTAGCCCCAACGACACTTACCATCGACATATGTCCTGATGTCTTCCTCTGCCACTTTACCCTGATGCTGCGGCCTGATGACCACGAAGGCTGTAGGGTGCTGGCCATCAGTGGGGTGAGTCCTTCCTACAACCACCGCGTCCTGGATGGCTGGGTGACCCATCAGGATGTCTTCTAATGGAGCTGGTGACATCTGGTGGAAATCGACCTTATTATTAGCGAATTTCCCTATAGGGAAGTAGACAACAAGGCCTAATTAAGACTTGTACATTTACTTTTTCATTGTGATGTCCCCAGAGGCCAAAAACATTGTTGGTAAAAATTAGTATATACATGTGTATAACATATGTCGGTGAACAGGATAACTCGAATAATTTTGGTCCAATTTTTATGAGGGCTGGATAAACTGAAATGAGTTTGCGAATCAGCAAGATCGGGTCATAATAACACTGTATTCTATGACTTAAAATTTGTAAAAATAGTTTTTTTTTAATGTTTATCCTTTACATGAAAATATCCAATTTTAATTACAGTCATCTTGAATGGCAAAAAAAATATAATTATGAAACGTTATGGAGAAAATAAAAAAAACATTTTAATTTCTATTTATTCTTATGGAAAAAGAAAACTATTGAATTATGCTTGTTTATGGATGTGTGTTGTTTAGATTGCGCAAATCTATTAAATTAATCCTATCTTATTAACACTTGGTGAAAAAAAATACTTTTTACCTTCCCCGTAGGAAGAAATGTAGGTACTCGTTAAATCTAATGTTTTTAAATGGGGGTACATATGTCATGTTTAAGAAAATATTGTGGTAAAAATCCAATCGGACACATTGAATTTTGCTTGGTCTGCAGGTTTGTTGTTGCTTAATCATAACCATGATAGTGTTCGTCCATATGCGTAGGATGAAGTAATTCGCTGGAGTTTCATGTGTGTATTTGAAGGGTAATTTAAATTTTTGTCCGTCTTGGAGCGAAACTTCTACCGATCAAAGTTTTCTCACAACGGCAATGTTGCTGTGTTCGTTATTGAGTCCGACGTAATCGCAACATTTCATTTAACATAATATGATAGAACAGCAACAGTAACTGTGAATTGACTTTGAAATCTGTAGGTCATAGGACAAAGAACTAAGTGTCAGCCTCAGTAACTGGGAGTTGAATTGATCTCGAGGGACATTGCACATAAAATTCAGTTTTTCCCAGCCTGTGGGACGCGTACCTGGCTTCTATAATCTTCAGTCTTGGTTTTCTCGTCGATGTTTTGAACTATACATTTTGCATTCCCCTTACTGTACAATGCGTTTTATATGTTTATTTACAGTATGGATAATATGGTCTACTGGGAAGACACAACAATCTGTTCCCGCAATAGCGGCAAAATCGTGGACGTCTCCAAAGATGGCGAAGACATCATCAACTTTACTTGTTCTCGAGGTGAAATTGCTGACAGTTGGAACAAATTGCGTCCCATGAAAACCCTAAACTAATTGCAATCCCTGCCGAGGATCTGGAATACATATTTCTCCTCATATTGGAACCTGTCTATTTTTTACCTTCAAGTTAACAAGTAGTACTAAAACTATTTTGCCTTTAGAAGTAAGTGTACACCAGGAATAAGGTGGGAAACCCTGTTTTCACTCAACAGCAGCCTTATTAGTCGGGAATCAACTTTTGAATCTGGCGTGATCAAATTTCAAAGACTTCGCAATTTAAATTGCCCAAAGAGTGGAATTTATGATAATTTATACTAACTTTACCTTCTCTCCTCTGAAGTTAATGAGGTCACAAATTCTTCCTCGTAGGTATAAGTTGCCCTCACTGTCAAATATACCCGCGTCCCCCGTGTCGTAAAACCCTTGGTCATCGAGGAAGTTGCAATTGAGATCATCTCTTCTCCAGTAGCCCTTGGTGCACGGGGACTTTATCCAGATCCTTCCCATCACCCCTGGAGGAACTGGAGCCCCGCTCTCGTCGAGTATCTGGAAACGTCAAACCGGTGAATTACAGCTGAAAATTATACTTAACTCTTGCGAAAATATCTGGAACTATGAATAAGTACTCTCAAATTATAACAATAATTGTAACCACTAAATTTGTATTTTATTGCTATTGCATCTGTTCCGTCGATGTACACACATTTAACATTCGAGAGAAGCTGAGGAATTGAGAGTGTAGTAAAAATATAAGTGTACTGACTTAACATTAGGGGGTTTATGCTACGCTGTGAACAATGTTTGTAGAAATTCAATGTAGGTATAAGGTTTATTATAAATACAATTGGAAAACTAGTGAGTAAGCCACGTTTTGGCATTCATGTTGGAGTTTTGGTCAACCGAAAGGACATAAGAAGTTGTAAACGAAGTTCTAATGTTTCACTATAAGTAGTCCATGGTGTATGATCAAAGCTGCTACACATTAGCCTCTGGGGAAATGCTCAGAGTCTAAACTGTTCATATTTTGGAAATACTTTAAGCATCAAACCATTTATACACACAATAGTAAAAATAAAAATAAAATACTTGTATTAGGCTAAATTGATCAGGTGGGACAGGCAAAGGTTGGATTTGGTTATCACAGGAAACTACTTACGTACAGGAAGTATATACAGGGTGTTCATTTGAAAACTTTCCATATCTGTTGTGTGCAAAGGTAAGGCTTTTAACATTTGTTTGTTCTCATTTCCCCCTAATTTGGACATGCCAAATCCAATAAAATTATTTTCAATTTTGAAAAATGCCCCTAAAGGGCCCAATTCGGGGGGTAGGGGTGCTTTTTGAGAAATTTTCAAATGTAAACATGGGTTGTGTGATACATCAATTTAAAGGTCTAATCATCCCAATCATTTTGGTGCAAAAAAAGTTTAATTATCTTTAACCGTATTTACAGGGTGGGTCAAAACGTTTTGAAAAACGACTTAGAAGTTAAGTACCGTATTACCCTAACTACTGAACGGAACAGCGCCAAATTTCTTTCCAAGCTTATTCTTGAGCTACCCTTTAAGATAACTTGTAGTAAGGGCATTTTCCAAGTTATTTTCTAATTTTTAAAAAATCCCAAATTTTAAGAATAAAAGAAAGCTGAAAACTCAAAATTCTTAAATAGCAAGGTATAACAAATTTCATACCACGTGAAAGGTCCTTTTTTAACAAACATTTTACGTATTTAAGTTTTCTTTCTATCTCTTACCGTTTAAAAATTGCAGTAGAAAAACATAATTTTCTATGGTAAAATTGTAACTAGTTTTCTAATAAAACACATTTCACATTGTTCAACGATGTAGTAGGATTCATAACAAATTGATCGACTACTTTTACGTGTGTCAGAATTCATCTTGGACCCCTCATCCTGTTCTTTTCTCATTGGTAACTGAGCCAGTTTCAGAAAACTTCCTAACTAAATCATTTACAGCCATTTGACTCAAGGTCTTACCTGGATATCTATTGTTAAACACTTTGCAGTTATCCTGGAACACTTTTGTTATGACCAATAAGTAAAATAAAGTCTATTTTTTTAAGTTTACACCATATTTGATTAGGTACGACAGGAAATGGTACTTTTGAAATTAATACTACCATTGACTAGTCAATGGTACTACAGAAAGCGGCCCATGCTTGGGTTTTTCTCATCAGCTATAAAACTTGTTTTTCACAAAGTAAAACGTAATGACTTGTTTGCCTATCTGCCTAAAAATAATTATGAATTGTTTCCTTCAGTTATTGCACCATTTAATGTGTCTATTAACGAATTTTGGCTGTTTTATTAGAAAACTAGTTACAATTTTACCATAGAAAATTATGTTTTTCTACTGCAATTTTTAAACGGTAAGAGATAGAAAGAAAACTTAAATACGTAAAATGTTTGTTAAAAAAGGACCTTTCACGTGGTATGAAATTTGTTATACCTTGCTATTTAAGAATTTTGAGTTTTCAGCTTTCTTTTATTCTTAAAATTTGGGATTTTTTAAAAATTAGAAAATAACTTGGAAAATGCCCTTACTACAAGTTATCTTAAAGGGTAGCTCAAGAATAAGCTTGGAAAGAAATTTGGCGCTGTTCCGTTCAGTAGTTAGGGTAATACGGTACTTAACTTCAAAGTCCTTTTTTAAAACGTTTTGACCCACCCTGTAAATACAGTTAAAGATAATTAAACTTTTTTTGCACCAAAATGATCGGGGTGATTAGACCTTTAAATTGATGTATCACACAACCCATGTTTACATTTGAAAATTTCTCAAAAAGCACCCCTACCCCCCAAATTGGGCCCTTTTGGGGCATTTTTCAAAATTGAAAATAATTTTATTGGATTTGGCATGTCCAAATTAGGGGTAAATGAGAACAAACAAGTGTTAAAAGCCTTACCTTTGCACACAACAGATATGGAAAGTTTTCAAATGAACACCCTGTATATGGAACAGAGTCAAGAGTAACGGGTGGACCGCGAACTAAATCAGACTTATTGTAAATGTGTACAATGTAATACCATTGCATGCAAGTTTTAACGGTACAGGATACTTACAGCTCAGAAGCGGACTTTATTAACCTTGTCCCACTTCAAATAGACATGTGATTTATTTATTATTTTGACCAGAAAACAGCAAAAAATGGTTTGACATATTTTTAAAGCTTTCTTTGCTTCTAAACCATTTCTTTATTATTACACGAAAAAGATTTTTGCTGGAGGCCCAAACTGTTGCTAGAGTTGTGACCTAACCTACCTGTAGGTCGAAGAGTTAATTTTTTATAGTTAAAAAAGTGCGTCAAGAGGTACTTTGATTTCTCTCTCATGGCTACTGGTTGCAACTTAAGCCTTAGTTTTGGGTCCCTTTTGGTGACCAAGATTCTCTCGGTTATTTTTGATCGCAGCTTGAGTTCCACCGAACCTTTAGATTTTGTTAAATTTTTACGAAGGGTGCATATTTTCAAGCCAAATGAGTGAACGAAGGTTGTATTATAGGGTCAACAACGTTTTTACTGACTGATCAGTTAGATCTTTAGCCAGGATCATTTATTAAAAGCCTGATCGAGAACAGCTGGGTCCAGTTAGAATCTTTTGATCTTTCCCAGGATCGAACAAGAAACCTTCGCATCACTAGCATTATATCCACTCAGCTCCACTACTGTTTACACACTGGTGCTTCTCGCACGGTGCGACGTGCATTTTGTTGTGCCTCGCGAGTGTCGGATTCATATTTATGCGCTTTAGCAAGTGTGCCGCAGTTCGTCTCTTTACTGCCAAGTATACTCAATGGGTGAAGTGAATAAAAACTAGTACATACTACGTAGTTCGTACTACGTAGTTCTAGCACTTGCTCAAATCGATGTGAATAAGAATTAGCTAGAACTAGGTAGTAAGTACTAGGGGTTCCCTAAATTATGTAGTATGTACTACCCTCTTAGTACGTACTACCCCCTAGTAAGTACTCATAATCAAGACACAACTGGTGCGTGGCGATAATCTGTTTGCCATTTCTAACCACGTAGTCAGGTACTAGCACCTGCAGTTTTCTCAGTCGTGTTGATCAAATAGACCTAGTATTTGGTTAACTGCGCTTGACGACCATTTTGATGGCGTTGACCAGGTACTGCAAGGGGGGGGATGGGGCTTTAATAGTGATTAGTGAGCTGCGAAAAAAAACATTTATATTACTTTGAGAAATCTAAAATTCCGGGCGTGGTAAAGGGGAAAACAGTGTCAGGTTGAAAATTTTAGACGATACAACAAAACTCTTGGTAAGGATTTTAACAGATAACATGAAAACTCGATGAAGAATAAAACAGAGAGGAATGTTATGGAAAATAAACCGACTAAGCTTAGAGAAGGAATTGAGATCTGATAGGAAAAAATGATAAGGAAAAAAAACGTGTTGGTAAACAAATCAACAATATCATTCTCAAATCACAGTAATTTCTTACAGTTAACAATATTTTTTATTTCAAGGTGCGTTTTCCTGGTATGGACTTGTATAAACATCGCCATCTTCGTAAACTACCAAACTGAAGCATGCCCATGAGCGTACTACATAAAAATGAAGTAACTACTATGCGGCTATTCGCCGAAAAAGCCTAGTAGATACTACGTTCCCTAAATGACGAAGTACGTACTAGGGGTAGTACGAACTAGCATTTTATTCACCTGCAAGACGTAGTTTGTACTAGGGGCTAGTATCAACTAGCATGTTTATTCACCGAAAACCGAGTAAATACTCCAAAAAGAAGTACGTACTACCAATTACTACCTTTTATTCACCTCACCCAATGGTATCACCATTGACTAGGCTATATACCATAGTCAAAGGTTTTATACATCGATGGTCGCACCAGTGTGTAACCCGCCTGAAGAACTCTACGTACCTTCATTTCCACACCGCTGACCAGCCTACCACAGGCACCCAAGGCAAACTTCTGCATTTCCATGTCTTTGATAACCATTTCGCTGATGACCCCCGCCTCCGTGCTGCCAAACAAGGTCACCATCTTGGCTCGACCCTTCAACACCTTGGAGAAGAAAGGGCGAGCGACGCTAGGCAGAATAATCTCTCCTCCTGGACAACGACACTGATTATTTAACTGTAGTTATACATCGGTGAGGACTTTGTGGAATGGTTTAGTCTAAGGCCCGTTTTGCCAGAAGCGTCTGGTGCGTCTATCGCTCGGCGATTATGCGTCTATCGCTACAGCCGCCAGCGTCTGTAACTGAGCCGCTAGCGTCTATCGCTGACCACTGCTCCTGCAGCAGATGGAGACGCAGTCACTAGCGATTATTAATAGAAGAAACGCTTGTTTAGAGGTTGACTTATTTATTATTTTTTTAAGTTATGTTTTATTTAATCAATTAACAAACTAACATAGCTAAAAATTCCGTAAAGTGACATTTTTAAATATTAATCCACCCAAATATATAACTCTCCCCCATGATATTCTTATGGGGGGATTGAAAGTTGCCGACTTTGGAATGCTCATCTGAACCGTTTAGAAACCTCCTAGGGACTTTAAATTTGAAAAGGGCGGAACTACAATTATCAATAAAATTTCCAAATGTCCCATTTTAAAACTTTAACCACACCAATGGTCAGGAATAACATTTTCCATAAAATCTGTTTGCGTGTTTTCCGAAAATTAAAATTAAAAAAAACTCCTACTACAATTTTATAACATTTCTGGAATTACGACTTGATTTTATTTTTTTTACTGTTAAAAAACCTAACTCAGCTAACAAATACTTCACTATTTGCTTTTTACAGCTCATTTCATAAACATCACTTCTTTTGCCATCAAAGTTAACCTCTCACTGATTCAATAATCGCAAGGAACGGACGCTTCTGGCAAAATAACCCCGAGCATAGACGCTGAGCGATATACGCACCAGACGCCTCTGGCAAAGCGGGCCTAGACTTTGGTTGTAAGCAAATTTAATATTGTATCATAGCGTACACAATCTAATACACTAGCCAGTATAGGTTGAGACCAGGATAGGCAGTGGGTTCTGGCATCTCCAACTTGGCTGAGCATCTCCACTAACTTGGCTGAGCAGATTGGTCTAGTGGTGTAGTGTATTTCTAGAGCTCGGGATTTCGGTCTCCAAGGTGCTTGGTTCAAATCCCACCAACCAGCAATGCAATTTAGCTATGCGATAATGCCGCAACTCTCTATGTAAAAAAACTTCAACCCTGTACGTAAAACGGATACTCTGCTAGTAGTCAAATAAATAAAAGTAAAAAAAAACTTATAATTGGATTGGCACGAATAACTATATAAATGTAAATTGAATATTTTATTATTGTATTTACTGAAGCTTAGATATCATTTCTAAATTATATTTTATTAAAAATAACTTACCTACTAAGACAGTTTTCACTGAAGATAGATCAAAGTCCTCAAACATTGGTTCATTTATGTATTGGATCATGTTTGCCATGTTGCTGAAAAAAGATTCCACCTAAAAATACTTCAATGTTAGTTTAAATATATGTTTGAGGATGATCTTATAATACTGATTATTTACAAACCGATCCTCTTTCAAATGGCCATTATTTGTGGTTTTTATCTAAATACACTTATTTAAATGAATATGAGGTAATAAGTGAAATAGTAAACGTTTGATATTTGAATGAATTACGTAAACTTTAAGCAAATTTTCTAGGTACGTTCATTTTTTGTTACAATAAAAGTGATAAGCTACTTAATAAAGACACTTTTGAAATAAAAGATAATCATCTTTCATCTAGTTAATTTATTTCGCCGTCATACTTGAGTATTGGTGGTTCACTCAAAATAACATGGCAACTTCAGAGAGTATTATTAAACATCTAACTTTATTATTTTCACTTCTTTTAAACATAAAAAGCCGAAATATTGCGTACAGTCAACTGATATTACTACACTATCCACATGATTATTCTCAATGAAGTAAGGGCTATCAAAAAAGGGGAAAGATAAAATTAAATGACTTCATTGAGTATGCACTTACGTTGCTCAAATAGCTTGTTGTTGAATAATATATCTTGTCCCTAATTGTTTTTTTAACGCAAAGCGATGTAAATAATTTGTAAACACATTTTTAAATCTATATATAGACCTTTATATAGATCGTTTGTGAATATTTATAGAAACGGATTAAACGTTCTCTAATTACTATAAAGAAAGAGGTTTACATCCCAAAACGGGATATCTATACAACGAATATTCTTAGCACAAAAGCTCTACAAGCCGAATGCGACCTCTATAAGACGAATTCCTCATGATCTTAACCCCCATAGTACAGTACGTAGTTTTCAAAACAAAGAGAAGTTTGTCTCAACATGAAACCCCCACCCACCCCTCTTCCTTCCTCAGTCAATGTATAGAGGTTATCTCAGAGCGAGAAGAAACCTCTATAAGACGAATAATAGCAGTATTACACCTATATAAAACAAACCTCTTTGTTAAGAATACCGAGATAATACGAAGTTTTCTCCTACTCCTTGAAATTCTTCTTGTAGAGGATCGACTGTACTTTGATTTAATTTCTCTGCCTTAACATAGAACAGTGACTACATGAAAGAATTACCTTGTATTTTTCCATAAGTTTCAATCTGTATCTTGCGTCGTTGGAGTTGGTGATGATCATGGAGTGATTCTGGTGAATGGCACTCATCAAGGTACCTAACGCGCTGTACCAATACAGAGGCGAGGCAATAAGTAAAGATTCTCTTCTAGATTCGAAACTGAAAAAAACTTATTAGTATGATTGGCCTAAAATGATTTTATTTTATCACAAACCATAATCAATGGATCAATCCCAGCACAGGACCCCCCCGAACACATAGAAACTTCTGTAGACTTGTCTAACAACAGACATACATTTCTACAAGATACCACAGCTCACAGCTGTTCTGTCTACAAATATGAAGAATTTTAACAAAAAGTAAAGCGTTGATTCAAGAGTGTTCAATAGTTGTGGTTAGGTTAAAGTAACTTTATCAAGATGTCCAGCTTACATAGGGGCTCTAAACCACGATTATATTTATTTATTGAAGTGGGTAATGTATGATACATTGGTAAAAAAAATCTAATTAACTATGTAGGATAAAGTTACTTTATCCAAGAATTGGTGCTTGACGATGTCATATCCATCACTTATGTCAAATCTTGTCCCCAAAACATTGTTATCACCGGCTTTTGGAGCAGTCAATTTTGAGCTGATAACAGAATCCTTAAGATATTTATGTTAAATCACCGTTTTCATCAAATCAATAACGGATTACTTTTCGTAAATTTTAAATTTGAGGACCATAAATTCGTGTTCGTGCTAAAATGATGGAAATTACAGTGCAAACACGTATTTCAAGCTTATAGTCAGTGAATTTGTCTTAAGTGCAGCTAGGCTCCCAAGGTTCAATCCATCTACAGGTTAAATGCTGTGAATAATTGGAACAGTTATAGGATTTGGTGTAGCAACAATTTATCATAATAATTTCTTGCCAAAAATCAGGTGGATCGTTATTTTAGATTATACTGCATATTTATTTTACCTATGATGAATATTTAACTGTCACATTACGGTTTGGCCTGGTAAACAACGATTAAATAGTAAGCAGTACACAGAAATAAATTACAGCAGCTTAATATACCAGGTTTATAAATGAATATCGGTGTTTTAACACGTTATAACTTATATACTATTAAACTTACCGCTCTAACACTTAATTCTGTATTTGAATACTTAGTAGTAAAATGAGGAAATTTTATTCTCTTGCGGAATATTACCTTCCTCTTTGGTCGATTCCTCACCATAAAGCTATTTGCAAAAGCGTTAAGCAGCCTCCGAATTTATAGTGGTGAAAAAGTTAAAGAATCCATTTTAACTTGTACAATTAAATGTACAGTTCTACTGAATCGAATATGTTAAATGATGTGTCGATGTAATGCACAAACTCTTTGAATTGCTTTTTCATTTGATGTGTTATTTATAGCGGCAAGTTGTATAAAAGTTATAAAGCGTTATAAAGTTGAGATAATCTATAAAGACTGGTCCAATTTAGTTTAGGCAGACTTGTTATCAAAATTCAAGTACAATATTCTTAACTATATTATTCTTAACGTGTAATTTAGTGTAGTCGTGTAGAGAATATCGAGGGAAACTGCAACTAATATCTTCTAAGTGGGAATGAGACTCTATTTAAGGTATATATTTTCTGGAAGGAAGTAGGACTCTATTTATGTTAAATGTCTAAACGAAAATGGACCTCTAACCATGGTGTATTAACTATGAGGAAGTGAAACTTTACTTATGGCATGTCTCTAAGAAATATTCGGCCAATACCCATTGTATACTCTCTAAGATGGAGTGAGTGCCTCGACGCATGCATGGTACATTTACGATGAATTCCAATGCCAAAATTTAAAGATATATGACAGTTTCTTCTTAAACTTACAGAATTCCTGAAAGTTGGACGTGGAAGTCCGACACTTCTATGCCTTTAGGTGTCCCTGTGGTGCCACTGCTGAAGAAGACAATTGGTACATGTTGCTTGACATCTGGCACCTCATATATCCGGAACTGGTGAGAAGACTTCAGAAGGGAGTCAACGACGGAGTCTCCTGATTCGGCTTTGCCCATCAGACGAGGTGCAGTTGACATTCTGGAAACTGACTGACTGACAGGCTTACTGAATGTCGCGTCATAGAACAACGCTTGTACAACTTGCCCTGCAGTCAGCTTGTCTATTGAATCTGCGTCTGAAATCAACAGTTGGTATGAGCCCCTCGTAGCATTGAAATTAGCAGCAAAATGGCAGAATTTAAAATATATACTTTCGGTAACATCGTAAAGAAATTTCACAGAGGGAGCTGCTTCATGCTTAATGCTACAATTTCTACATTTTGCAATATTTACACTACATTAAGTAAAGTAAACTGCCTCTTATCTGGACACCTTTTAACCGAATGATTTTTTCCGGACAGTCGTTCAACCGGACTACATTAGGCAAATATGTAATTTAACGGGGCAATTTTTATCAGCACAACTGGACTGGATCGGCAGAAGTGGGCTGTACTTAAGCGACTTTTCTCATGGGAAAGATTTGAGACCAGTGTTTACGTGTCTTAAATACAAAACTCTCCCCAAATTGAAGCAAAATATTTGATTTAGTTTTCGGGTGATTCCCGTGGCGTGCACGCACATGTATGGTTAGTTAGTAGTGTTTATACATTGCGTACTCTAAATTTTTGCTGCTTTGAACCTTGGTTTGTGACGCCCCTCTGCAATTTGTAGGGGACCTCGGTTAACCGGAAAACCCGTTATTCGGACTGGCCTCGGTCCCTAAGATTCCGGATAAGAGAGAGTCTAGTTTAATATATTAAATAGAAAAAATCACTTATATAGTTGTATTTGAAATTCTAAAAAGTCACAGATGAATAAACTCTTGCAACACGTGACGAATAAAAAGATTTAGCACAGCAATTCACGATATTTTCACATCAAAAGTGTGTAGCATCACTGCCAATAAATATAATCCTACATCGTAACAAAGAGTCACATTTGCTACAATCATTTGAGCACAACCACATCTGATGTTTCTATAGGTGTCAATTACTGGTGGGATAGCAACTAAGAAATTTTGTATCGAAAAATAAAATCATGATCTACTTATTAACTGACTTATCTATATATAAAGCCCAAAGTACCAATCACTCCAAGTACCAAGTCACACCCGCATAAACCATATACTTAAAATGTTTGTCATGACGAGAAACCTTGCGCAAAACTATCCATTATTGCTCTTTAAGGTCGTAATTCCTTTCTAAAGGGAACTTTCCATTTACCTAATGTTAAAAATACCTCAGCTGTACTCATTTGTTTGTATTACTGTATTCTGTTTTGTTTATGTCAGCTTAACTTTTTAACCAATCAATAATTTTATTAATACTTATAGTCCAGACAATGAATGCTCAAAAGGGGGGTGTAGAGGACATGGAGAGGGGGAAATTTTTTTCTGCGGGAATGTGTTCGGGGTAGTTAGAAGATAAAAATACCAAAAGTCCCCGCCCCTGGCCCTGCTGCTTCAGCGGGGGGAGGAGGGGGGAAAGACCCAATTTTTTTGTTTTTTACTTCTACACTGAAAACCGTGCATCGTACGGAAAAAATGTAAATTAAAAAGAAAGATGATGAAATTCTCTACAAGAATGGTTATATTCATTTCTTCCGTATATGCATTGGTTTAAAAGATATTCTCAAAATAGTATAAAAATTCTTAAATAAATTGATTTTTCACGCACTTTTTGTCAAATAAGTTTATATAATCCAATACCCTGTTGTTGTTTCACATCAATCAGGATAGAAAACAGGTTTTCGAACACTAACCTATCTATATCTATAATATAATATAATATATCAATCGTATATATTGTGTTAAAAATAGTTTTATATAAATTTAAATAAGTTATGTATATTTGTCATGGAAACAAGTAATTTTGGCATAATTATTACACTAAAAATTAAAAAGATTATGTTTGTAGCTATATTTTGTCCAGGTTTATTTATAACAATTACCGAAATCAAGACTTAATATTATTGTTCATGGTCTGGCTCACTTGGGACGAGAGGGTGCGACTTCTGTCCCAAAAACTGGTGCCATCTGGAACTGAAAACCACCATCTAGGACATCTCCATCATTCAATTCTTGTTGATTAGACTCAATATTGTCTATCGAAGTGAGAATTCGGTGTAGGCCTGTATATTCTTCATCTTCCTCATTCATCAGAATGGGCATTTCATGTAAAAAGTTCCCTTAGCAGTTCTGGCATAACGGAGAACAATTATTGGACATTTTCTTGCATGCACAAATTGCACATCTGGCACTGTTATAATCTTTAGTACATTTGCAAAATACTTGGTTAAGGGATTAACTGTTTCTGGTTACTATAATATCGGTGCCTCTGTTCAAATGAATATCTACTGACCAGTGGCCGTCCCTTAGTTGAGGGGTGTGGGGGGGGGCGGAAGGTATATATCTTCTCCGAAATATTTTATTAGCTAACAAAAATACTATTAGCTTAAAGATATTTTAGAGCTCAAATGCATATAAAAATACGTTACTGTGCTTTAAATTCCACATTTTTTCCGACAATTAATCCTGGGACCGCCACTGCTACTGACTTTTTCAATCTGTAGCGTCTTTCTTGGTCTGCCATCTTCGTGCCGTTTTCTGAATTGCTATATCCGTAAAAAAAAACAATGCATTACCTCTTACAAGGTAATAGGTATCCACGTACCTCACGTATCCATCACATATCGCAGACACTGAAGATCCCCTTTGCCATATAACCTTATGCGTGAGAAATATCCCATCGATAACCAAACTAAAAGTCGTTAAAACTGTTGTTGGTTGGTTCAAAAAAAACTTGAACAGTGCAGGCATTTTTGGTCTTTACTCATACCACTCTCATTAAATAAAGGAAAATGGAGCAAGTTTAAATCGTTAACAATTCTTTAAATCTTGATAACTTTTTTAACTTATACAAATCCTTTGAAACAGATTTAAAGGTTTTTGCTGCAACGTTTTAATCATTGATATCGATGGTTGAACTCACAGAGGACAAAGGGAGAGCCATATTTTCCCGTGACAGCTTGTTGTCTGCAAATGATTACAATTTGATTAATAATTCGCAGACTACGTAATACAGCATCATAACAGTGATGGGATTCATCTCCTACAACCCTAACCCTAGATGATATTGACATGATGTCTTGAGTTTCAGGGAAGAGTGGGCGATTTTCAAACATCGCTGTCAGTTTAGAAATATTTGACATTTCATCATTTGTATCATTTAATCAAGGACAACTCTGTTTGGAAAACCAACTACCCTCAGAAATGTGGGATTGGGAGCGCAAAAAAGGTAATCTATTCCCAGTTTTAACCAATGAACCACCTAACCCACGAGAAATATTGGGCTTGTTTTTTGCAAATATACTAAATATTGTAGCAATGAAAGATGCACATGCAATGAAATGTCCATTAAATGTTCCTCGTTGGACGTTATGCCAGAACTGCTAAGGGGACCGTTTAAATAGAATGCCAATTCTGATAAATGAGGATGATGAAGAATATATACACTGCACTCTCACATCGATAGCAGATATTGAGTCTGATGAACAAGAATTGGATTATGGAGAGACCATGAACAATAGTATTAATATACAATAGTAATTAGTATTCTTGGTTTCGGTAATTGATATAAATAAACCTGGACAAATATAGCTACAAACATAATTTTTTTAATTTTTAGTGTAATAATTATGCCAAAATTACTTGTTTCCATGACAAATAT